CAACCTTAGTCTCTAAATCATCGTAGAATCAGGAATCTGAAAAGCGTATTTTTGAGAAACAAATTCGTGTGGAATTTAAATAACAGGAAGAAAAAACATTCAAATATGAGGTCGTCCGAGTAGGTTTACCCCGACGAAGTCAGTCTGGTTTAGAATAAGACGAGTGGCACAAATAACATATCTTCTACTCTTGCATACTTTGCTACATAGTGAAGAATAATAGAAGACTTCACGTGTTGGAAGAACTCTCTGAAAAGCCTCGGATATTTGTAACTTTATCAACTCGTGTTGATCTAATTGATATCAGTAGACACTTGGGTGAGATTCTTTATATATGCACCAGCCACCAAACATGTCTACGTGTACTGTCCTACTCTCTTGTCTTTTATGAAATGAATTATAGCACATTTTGTGTTGAAGATTATTTTATGTATATTACACTCTCCATCAATCTGCACAATATATACCCGTAAAGGTCCGGGTTAGAATGAGCCTTCAGTAACCCATGCTTGTCGTAAAAGGCGACTAACGGGATCGGGTGGTCAGGCTCGCTGACTTGGTTGACACATGTCATCGGTTCCCAATTGCGCAGATCGATGGTCATGCTGTTGATCACTGGATTGTCTGGTCCAGACTCGATCATTTACAGACCGACGCCATATAGCTGGAATGTTGTTAGGTGCGGCGTAAAACTCACTCACTGTACAATATATGCATCTGGCCTCTCAGTATATGTGTAAATACCGGCTGATAGACGCACCATTCCCTGGACGGTGCTGGAACCTGGAGGTGGAACGGACCGCTTTTCACGATGAAGCCAGGGTTCGATTCCCATTATTGAATACAATGTCTTTAACCCATTCCTGGTGTTCAAACCCAGTCTGCAGCAACTATTCTGCCCTGGATTTCTCTTTGTGGAAAAAACCTGTTGATTCAGAAAACCTTATTACACACTTTCCCCGAATTGACGATGCAGACGTTTCTGGCCCGCAAAAGGGACGCAACTCTGCATGGCGAATTGCCGCCATGATAAGAACACGATTTGTCGACTGAACATGCGGCCCCCCACTTTGCAGGGGAGGGGAAGGGAGTGACATAAATTTGGGTGGGGATGCAATATCGACCACCTCTGCGTTGTGTGTATCGTGGTCTTCTAATGAATCCTCTTCACGCCAAAGGAAGTCTAACGTTTGTACAATACCGTTGTTTGCGTTTGAAACAATTACTGTGTTCTTATGACCTTGGACTACGGTTTCAGCAATCTTCCAAAACATCCCCAGCGACCTCAACTACGGATACTTGTTTGGGCTCATTAAACAAATACCATGACTTCCCTCTGAATACAGATCCAGGCTAGAATTTGTCTTCAGCAACTCATGCTTCTCGGGTGGTCAGACTCGAAGACTTGGTTCACACTTGTCGTATCCCAACTGTGCCAGATCGATGCTAATGACGCTGATCACTGGATTATCTGGTCCACACTCGAATATTTACAGACCAACGCCATACAGCGGGGATATTGGTGAGTGCGGCGTTAAACAACAAACAAATAAAGAATCTTACGATCATGGTGCCTTTCATACTGGTGATCTATAGCCCGTTTTAAATTTTGTGTATCATGGTCTATAAGTTACATATTATATTTGTCTACGAGTAGCTTTTAAAACAATTTGTGATATAGGATCTGTTTTTGTACTGCCCTTCGGTGACAGCTTTTAAGTCTTAGCCTACACTGTTCCACTCACAACATGGCTGAAATACTGCCGACATGACTTTAAAATTTAATTCACTCACTCACTATTGCTATCGAAAGGGCAATGTCGCTTTTCTTTCAAGATGGAGTTCAAGAACATGTTATGCAAATGTCATAAAACGACAAGCAATGGAAGCGGACTTGCAAAGTAAGAGATTTTACGTGCGCATCTGATACATGAGAGCGATTGACATTCAATAAATTATACTCAGATGAGTTTTAGGATCAAACATTATATTCTCATGGGGTGGAGAAAGAAATAACGTTCCCTTTGTCTTGCAAACCATATTGAATGCATATTGAAGTATAAGAATGCATAACTAAGCTCCAGTAAATGCATATAAAATATAAATGTTTAAGCTGAAAATCGTTATGTAAAGCAGTTAATATTTGAGAATAAGTGTGTTCTGTTTCAGATTTTGAATGGTTTCAATTTTACTCTTGCGTAACCTGTGACGTACACAAACGAAATTGTAATGATTTTACATCGTCGCTCAATCGAGCAGCCAGCCGCCAATTGTAATATGGATTTGTCAATGAAATTCATGTTAGGAAGTTTGAGTGAAAAATATCTCGCAATTGAATTGTTACTCGTTTCCCACACGTATATTGATGTTCTCATACAATATCAGCCTGCTACATTCGAGTATGTTATATTTGAAATATGGTACAAAATTCATGGTCACATATGTAATATTGCTGGTTATAGGACCTGAAATCGATAACCTCATCTCTTACATTACTGTGAATATTAGTCACCCTACATCTCCGTGCTGTAAGTAGGTAGAATACTTTGTCTATGTGGCAACCAGCCTGTAAATGTGGGGAGTGTTTATTGTCTGTGATAGTGTCGTATCTGTGATAGTGTCGTATCTGTGATCGGGTTTCATAACCACATGTTCACGATATGGAAAGAACCATACAATGGATGTATCAGTAGTCAATCGAGTCACATTGGTGTTATTTTCAAGATGGCGGCTCTTTTGGTATCATGTGGTCGGTCATGTGACCGGATGCGTAGCCATTTTGACGGATCTTGCTTGACGGAACGGGATCTAGCCGGAGGTGGGAAAACGACAGGTTGCAGGAATCGGAAGGTATTCGGCGGGCTGGTGGAGAGATGACGGGAGGGCAATGGAGAGTGTTTGGGGGTCAGCGGGTGAAGAGTGTATTTTTTAGTATGTGTTTGTTCAAGCATTCTTTTGAGATGATTCGGGGTGGCCCTGAAGAGTTCCGTTGAATAGTGACTCACCCGGACGAGTCGTCTGTTTTGGTGGTGGGGGTCGCTGGAGGTCGTGATGGAGTCTTCCATAGCTTCTACCAACTGCAAGACACGCTGGCATTGATTTTGGAAGAAGTCTGTAAATGACCTTGGATGATTGTTACCTTGTCACTCAACAGCGTGAACAGGAGATCGCCTGCAGTTTAATACACTTTATTTCATGGGAGGTTGACCTGTCATGCAACTGGGGCTGGACGTTTTAGGGTCTTGTGGGGGCAGTTGATACTGCAATGACCTTCTTTGTTCCAGTAAACAGCAGGCATATGGACAGTCGTATTAACTGGGATGGCTGTCATTGTTTGCTGCTTAGTTCTGTGGGCATCTGCAAAGACGATCTAATGGAACACCATACACTGTACAGTTCACCATAGGGCAGTTCAGATAACTACAGTCATCTGTTTGACACAGTTACGAGGATGTCTGTACACTTTGAGTCTCTGTAAGCAACTGTTGGCGAGAGCTGGAAAAGATTGAGCTTTTATTGCCGGTACATGACGTTAATTTGGCGTCAGTGGCGTCACCGTCGCCCCAATTGTCTCACGCCACCATGACGTCATGCCGTTTTATATACCTCGAGCTCAGGATGACCTTGTCAGTTGCAGCCACGCCGGCACCTTCTAATATAAAAGAAATGGAGGAAGAAGAAGAAATCCGTAACTCATTACTTGACGCGGACTGACCGAAGAACAGCCAAGAAGTACTACGACAAGCACCTCAGGTTCAGATGCTGAATCTCACGTCTCACTTTGGAACTTAAAGGAATTATTTGTTTCTATCAAAACTATATAAGAGACTAATTGATGGTCTAAGTCCGTCGTATTCTTAAACATTTCATATCAATAATTATCTGCTGCGGGTGAGAGCTTAAGAGCTTTCGAAATTATCCCTTAAATGTATATACATCGGAAGAAACAACTGACTGACGTAACCAATCTGTCTATCTGTATGTATGTATGTATGTATGTATGTATGTATGTATGTATGTATGTATGTATGTATGTATGTATGTATGTATGTATGTATGTATGTATGTATGTATGTATGTATGTATGTATGTATGTATGTATGTATGTATGTATGTATGTATGTATGTATGTATCTATGTATGTATGTATCTATGTATGTATGTATGTATGTTATTTGTGCCACTCAACCAAACTGACTTTGTCTGTGTAAACCTACTCGTTGCCGGGATGGACGAGCTCAGAATTTAATGTTTGGTTATCCTGTTATTTAAACTCCACACGATTTTGTTTCTCAAAAATACACTTTTCACACTCCTGATTCTACGATGATTTAGAGACTAAAGTTGCACGATGATTTGATTCGTTCGGAGACAACATTCCTATTGATACCTGTGGTAGTTCATCAATCTGTTTAGTGAATCCATTTAGAGGTACCTCTGAAGACCCGGGGTTAAAAAAATCTTTACCAACCATACTTATCATTAAAGGCTAGCATAGATGGAGATGGAGATCTCTGAGTGTGCCATTAAACAACAACATCCATATTATAGACACTGCCTTCATGTGTGTCTTTGGAAAATTTGTATATATCCTGCTATGTTAGGATTCATATAGTTGTGTATGTATGTCTTTATGTAAAGTGTCGGTGGGGTAGCCCAGTGGTTAAAGCGTCCGCTCGTCATGCCGAAGACCCGGGTTTGATTCCCCAAATGAGTACAATGTGTTAAGCCCATTTCTGTGTCCACCGTATTGATATTACTGGAATATTGCTAAAAACCGGCGTAAAACTAAAATCTCCCACTCACTCACAATGACACTAGGACTACATTATCTAAACACCATCGTGATACATGTGTACAACATTGAATACCAAATATGACCGGTATGTGATATGATGAAGTTACCGTTATGTTACGTTGATCAAGTACACAGTTACCATGGCAGCGTTTGAATTTTCGAATTCGAAATTAAATTAAGAAAACACTTGTTGCTGTTGAAGGTTTATTTGATTAAAGGGGGCCGTTATGTGATTTCTTTGAAATCATAAATACCATTTTAATTTTAATCTTGAACAAAATTAGAAACATTAAATCTGCCCAGAAAGACAGTAGATATATATTATTAGAAAACAGTAAAGGACACCAAGTCTGGTCATATGACTGTATGCGAGCTTTCCTTAACTTCCTTTGAGTAATATATATGACACGTTTTGAGCCCATATTGACCAGGCTGTTAATCAGAAATGATTACAAAGTTATATTTTCGTCAAGTATGGCGAACAAAATAGAAAATTTCTTGCCACGTCGCATTTTTGATGCGATGTACTTCAACAGCTGGCTGTTGTCATTTTTCGTCTTCTTCCTCTTTTCCTCGACTGTATTTCTTCTCTTCTTCAACGCTGATGTGAATGATCTACCAACCTCTTCATTTTTCCACTCGTCATTAAGCTCACGCTTCTTCCTAACTAACGTAGGGGATGTCGTTGTTGTAGTTGGAGGAGCTGTTGTAAAATCAGCAACCACTACATCCTCCGTTGTGGTCGTGTCCGGGTCTGCTGCTGCTGCCCTTGTTGTTGTAGTTACTGGAGGCGTTGTAGGTGCCGTTTTGCAAGTGGGAGGTGTTGTAGGTGCCGTTGTGGAAGTGGGAGGTGTTGTAGGTGCCGTTGTGGAAGTGGGAGGTGTTGTAGGTGCCGTTGTGGAAGTGGGCAGTGTTGTAGGTGCCGTTGTGGAAGTTGGAGGTGTTGTAGGTGCTGTTGTGGAAGTGGGAGGCGTTGTAATTGTCGTTGTAGTACTTGGAGGGAGTGTTGTAAAAATATCAATCACCACGTTCTCCGTTGTGGTCGTGGCCGGCTCTGCTGCTACCGTAGATGTTGTAGTTACTGGCGGTGTTGTAGGTGCCGTTGTGGAAGTGGGAGGCGTTGTAGGTGCTGTTGTGGAAGTGGGAGGCCTTGTAGGTGTCGTTGTGGAAGTGGGAGGCGTTGTAATTGTCGTTGTAGTACTTGGAGGGAGTGTTGTAAAAATATCAATCACCACGTTCTCCGTTGTGGTCGTGGCCGGCTCTGCTGCTACCGTAGATGTTGTAGTTACTGGAGGCGTTGTAGCTGTAGTTGTTGTTGTTGGAGGGACTGTTGTAAAATCATGATGATAAGTGTCTTCTGTCGATGTAGTTATATCCTCCGAGCGTTCACGTCGGTATATTAGGTCAACAAGTCGAGCGGACACAGACCTTGGGGAACGTCGTGCAGGTTGATGCAGGTCACGTCGCCTTCTCTTTGTTGTGCAAGCTAAGGTAGAGGTGCTGGTTTCTTGCACTAGTGCGGAACATTCCTGGTCGATGGAAAGGCAACTTTGGTCCGCCTGGCTTCTGGAAAATATAATTAAAATCGAAATGTTCATCAAATATGTAAAATATTTCAGATTGGGGTAAGTATTCTCAACAGTGTTAGCCTTTGGACTAACCTCTACATTACTGGCGTGGTGGGCGAGCTGGCTAAAGCGCCAGGCTAGTGATCCAGCGAGGTTGAGGTGCTGGGATCGAGCCCACCTGTGACCGGGTGTAAAAACCTTGTAGTCAACTTTGTGTGCAGACTCTTTCAGTGTTGTCACAACCCCTAGTGTACAGTACACAACCCTGTGCATTTAAAAGAACCCACGAATCCGTTGGTATATGACCAGATGGTGGCCACATGAATACGTGCAAACACCTAGTTGCGGGTACACCAACCTGCAGTAAACTTGGACAAAGTACTGTGACTATGTGTCCCAATCCACCCAACTGTGAATGGGTACCTCGTTAGGATGAGAAAGCCACAATAACTCGGTTCGCCTAGTGGCTGCAAGATTTGTATACTCTCCAGGGAGTTGAGATTGATAATAGATGTGCCGTTGAGATTGACATCCAATGATAGAGGGAAAAATACCAGCGCCTTGAGCATGCACTAGTGCGTTGATATGTGCGCTATATAAATATACTATAATAATAATAATAATAATAATAATAATAATAATAATAATAATAATAATACCCAATAGGAACCAAGGAATACGCAGGAACCACGGAATACGTAGGAACCACGGAATACGTAGGAACCTCAGATTCTGAATGTCCCTTCTCACTGGGTTTCATTTTCAAGTTAAAGGAATTGTTTATATCAAATATATTCAGAGACTAAGCGTTAGTCGTATTGTACCCGTGCGGTAAATCGAATAAAGGTCATTGTAACGAAAGGATGCTTTAACTCAAACTGGTCGCTCGTCATGACAACCGCTTGTCACTGACCCAAGCAACATATCCTTGTCCCAGTAGACGATCATAGTTCGCATGTCGATACCCACACACTCTTTTCACGCTTTGGTAGTCAACTGCAGATCATGCGTAAGGGAATATATTAAAACAGTTTGTTGCTGGATGTGTATTATAATCCCCGAGGAGCTTCTAATGACGTCATTGCCGAGGTAATGTAATGTCATATTAGGTATCGATACCTTCACGAGAGACGAGGAACCAAGGAATACGGTGGAACCAAAGAATACGTAGGAACCAAGGAATACGCAGGAACCACGGAATACGTAGCAACCAAGGAATACGCAGGAACCAAGGAATACATAGGAACCAAGGAATACGCAGGAACCAAGGAATACGCAGGAACAGGTAGGAACCAAGGAATACGTAGGAACCACGGAATACGTAGGAACCAAGGAATACGTAGGAACCAAGGAATACGCAGGAACCATGGAATACGTAGGAACCAAGGAATACGGAGGAACCAAGGAATACGTAGGAACCAAGGAATACGCAGGAACCACAGAATACGTAGGAACCAAGGAATACGTAGGAACCAAGGAATACGCGAGAACCAAGGAATACGTAGGAACCAAGGAATACGTAGGAACCAAGGAATACGCAGGAACCACGGAATATGTAGGAACCACGGAATATGTAGGAACCAAGGAATACGCAGGAACAAAGGAATACGCAGGAACCAAGGAATACATAGGAACCAAGGAATACGCAGGAACCACGGAATATGTAGGAACCAAGGAATACGCAGGAACCAAGGAATATGCAGGAACCAAGGAATACGCAGGAACCAAGGAATACGTAGGAACCAAGGAATACGTAGGAACAAAGGAATACGTAGGAACCAAGGAATACGTAGGAACCACGGAATACGTAGGAACCAAGGAATACGCAGGAACCAAGGAATACATAGGAACCAAGGAATACGTAGGAACCAAGGAATACGCTGGAACCAAGGAATACGCAGGAACAAAGGAATACGTAGGAACCAAGGAATACGTAGGAACCACGGAAAGTAGGAAGGAATACATAGGAACCAAGGAATACGTAGGAACCAAGGAATACGTAGGAACAAGGAATACATAGGAACCAAGGAATACGTAGGAACCAAGGAATACGCAGGAACCAAGGAATACATAGGAACCAAGGAATACGCAGGAACAAAGGAATACGCAGGAACCAAGGAATACATAGGAACCAAGGAATACGCAGGAACCACGGAATATGTAGGAACCAAGGAATACGCAGGAACCAAGGAATATGCAGGAACCAAGGAATACGCAGGAACCACGGAATACGTAGGAACCAAGGAATACATAGGAACCAAGGAATACGTAGGAACCAAGGAATACGCTGGAACCAAGGAATACGTAGGAACAAAGGAATACGTAGGAACCAAGGAATACGTAGGAACCACGGAATACGTAGGAACCAAGGAATACATAGGAACCAAGGAATACGTAGGAACCAAGGAATACGTAGGAACAGAGGAATACGTAGGAACCAAGGAATACGTAGGAACCAAGGAATACGCAGGAACCAAGGAATACATAGGAACCAAGGAATACGCAGGAACAAAGGAATACGCAGGAACCAAGGAATACATAGGAACCAAGGAATACGCAGGAACCACGGAATATGTAGGAACCAAGGAATACGCAGGAACCAAGGAATATGCAGGAACCAAGGAATACGCAGGAACCACGGAATACGTAGGAACCAAGGAATACGTAGGAACAAAGGAATACGTAGGAACAAAGGAATACGTAGGAACCACGGAATACGTAGGAACCAAGGAATACGTAGGAACCAAGGAATACATAGGAACCAAGGAATACGTAGGAACCAAGGAATACGCTGGAACCAAGGAATACGCAGGAACCAAGGACCACGTAGGAACCAAGGAACACGTAGGAACCAAGGAATACGTAGGAACCAAGGAATACGTAGGAACCAAGCTTCTAATACTTCGAGATAACCGTATGTGTGGCGCATCACAGTTCGACACAAAGGGGTGTGAATCTGCGTGGTTATATCACATTATATCTATATAACACATAACACACATATAACATGCATATAACACATATAGTCCGCCACCTACCGACATGCAGACACCTTCCCCGAGGTACAGAACAGCCAAATTCCACATTGAGTAACATCATGTTGTCCATCCGTCAGGTCAGTCGATGGTGTCTTGCACATTACACCTGAAGATGATTTTTAGTTTGTACTTAATGGCATGCACTTAATGATAAGGGCAAATAATGTATTTTGATAAGAACTATATCTAAAAGTGACGTCAAGAACAATATCATAACGGTATGCACCAGGTCTTCAGGGCTGCCCAGAAATAGGTATGTCATTGGTGCACTGAGCTGTAATGCACTGATGTAAGCTGCGTAACTTCACTGACTGAACACAGATATAACATGCAGAGCAAGAGAGAGAGAGAGAGAGAGAGAGAGGAGAGAGAAAGAGGAGAGAGAAAAGGAGAGAGAGAAAGAGAGGGAGAAAGAGAGGGAGGAAGAGAGAGAGGAGAGAGAGGAGAGAGAGAGAGAGAGGAGAGAGAGGAGAGAGGAGGAGAGAGAGAAAGGGAGAGAGAGGAGAGAGGAGGAGGGGAGAGAGAGAGAGAGAGGAGAGAGAGAGAGAGGAGAGAGAGAAAGGAGAGAGAGGAGGAGAGAGAAGGAGAGAGAAAAGGAGAGAGAGAGAGGAGAGAGAGAGAGAAAGAGAGGAGGAGAGAGAGAAGAGAGAGAGAGAGAGAGAGAGAGAGAGAGAGAGAGAGAGAGAGAGGAGAGAGAGAGAGAGAGAGAGAGAGAGAGAGAGGAGAGAGAGAGAGAGAGAGGAGAGAGAAAGAGAGAGAGGAGAGAAAGAAGGAGAGAGAGAACGAGAGAAAAGGAGAGAGAGAGAAAAGAGAGAGGAGAGAGAGAGAAGGAAAGAGAGAGAAGGAGAGAGACAGCTTGAAAAGTTAAATGACCCCATAAAATGTTAATCCTTTGTCAAATTCGACAAATATCTACAAATCTCAAATGGGTAACCTGTTATCAACAGTTGGATGATATACCGTCGATGACAGGGTAAACCTTTACCATCTTCTAAATAACATTTCAAGGGGTTAAGCGCAGTAGTTGGAACAGTGAAACAAGTTCACGTGTGGTACGTGATGAGCGTTAACTTAGACCAACCCTACTTGATCTCAGTGTTTCATTTAATCATTTAATTTGAAACTATGAGCGTTTGTTAAACAACGTTTATCCTAAGTTGAATAAAATTCTGAGGTTTAAATGTTCAATTGACAAGGTAAAATTTCGAGCATTCGCAATCTTATTTTCACTGTATTTGATTTACCTTTCTGTTTAAAGTGAAATTCATCGGTACGTTTTCACTGCAAACACTATAGTCCCTCATCAAATTCGGCGCCAGTACCATTCACCAAGGCAATATTTCCCCATGCACCACTGACATATCTGTAATGTTCTTGACAGCTGTCGACGGTGGCCATGAAAACCTATTCCATCTTGTTGTGATATTGTTCAATGGGTTTTTCTCAGACATTTACATAAAAATATCTTAAATCAATGTTCTCAGTATGTGACAGAAACGTTCACAAAGGTATTTTTAATCGGTTGTTGTGCTCTAAAAAGGTCTTTGAAACACTGAATGAAGTACACGTAATTACCTTAAGCTGTTTATTGGAAATTGCAATGTTTTGTTACCGTAGCAATCAGACAACCTATGGATAACAACAGCTGTAACACTCAATAATCTACACCGTTCAGTGTAGATGTCACAGTTGTCGAGAGTGTAGCCATGGTTATACCTACAGAGAAGGATATGTTGTTTTCCATACCTTTTGTCTACTCTGTTGTTCGTCAACACACTCCGGCACAGCGATGACTAACATAACATCACTGCCACAGGCTAATTTGCATATCACGTGACCGGACTTTTCTCTTCTTTGTAATCAAACGCGCATATTCATAATAAGAAGAGACTGGACTCACGAAAGCTTTTCGGCGCTCTCTTCATAATGTTTTACATTGTTACATATATATTCTTCCACAACTGCGACAGTAAGGTCCATGACAGTACATATTTAGATATCAAACTGGCTGCATCGTTTGCTCTCCATCAGCTTCGATGACAGCACGTGGAGCCGTACAACCTATGTAAACAAAGGATCGCTACGCAAATCGAAATAGTGTTACATGTTTTTTGGATATTTTCTCAGTGAAACTAACCATTCTATTAAAGATGTTTAGTTAGATGTGTAGACTCGTCAAAAATAAAAGAGTAAAAGAAATCTGTACATTATATTGAATGGACATTGCAAGATGTGACGAATCGTCACATTTTTCTGGCCTGTGGCAGAGGAACTATGCTGGCTTGCCGCATGGAACTCTGGGTAGGAGAGTGGTTCGTCAACTGTCTCACCTACCTTGTGTCACAACCTCCAGCGTCGGACTGACACAATTCTCGCAAGTTGCAACAGTGAAGAAACACAAGAGAAGAAGTATAACCATCATTGAGAATCTGAAACAGAAAACATGCTACGACTTGCAGAGTCTTTTAGTTTGAGACATTAAATTACAGCTTTGGACAAAATCCTCCACCACAGGCCCTCGTGGTGGTTGATGTTTGTTAAGGAGACATTTACAAATGGTGCTTTCTTTTGAGAAGCCATTGCTGGAAAAAAATCTTACTTTTCTTCCAAGTCAAGCAGTCGATGAAAGTAAAAATTCCCGAAAATGTATAAAGAATATAGCAGCGTTGACCAACCAGATGGCTTGCTTCGACCTCACCGGTTTTTTGCGAATATATCGTCAGCCATTTGTGTCAAGGTCGTTTAGTTGAGGGTCAAAATCGGGTTTCAATCGACTTGCAGAAATAACAATAAAGAACTGGTAGGTGTCATGAGTAGTGCTCGATAGGCCAATCATCCATGATTATGTTTACATTAAGTTTTAATCGATTTCATGCGATGGTAGCGTAGCGATCGGCAAAGCAGTCGGGTGGGGTGCACCGAAGTGTCCGGCCTTGTCATAATGTATTGTACTGTGAAGCATTTCGAGTCGGGGGTCATCTCAAAAACAATATTATTTTAATCATTAATCCTCGCAAAGATACGAGGGCCTGTGATCTCCACCGCATAAAGAATACCAAAGCATGATGTAATCGCATATCCTGCCTTCAACAACTCAGGCTCTTGGTTGTTGGTACATGTCATCGTATCCCAGTTGAGTAAATCATTATTCATGATGTCAGTGAATTTTCTGGTCCAGACTCGATTACTTACAGACCACCGTCATATACAGTTAGAATATTGCTCAGAGTGACGTTACACAGCATATTTCTATTTTCAGATGAAGATTTGTGTAAGGTTATCAAGGAAGAGTTAGATTCATTAGAAGGCCAAATGACATTTAATGAATTTCAGAAAAGAACTTGCAAACTACCAAAGAATAACAACATCAGACCTATCTTTTTGGAAGGATATATCTTCCTTCATTGAGGTCCATGATCTATAGTTATCTACTGCCTATTTGTCTGTCACACAAAAACAGGTGTCGTAACCTGCAGACCAATTTCCCTTATGTACTAACCATACAGACTTCTTTCCTCTGTCACTGCTGAAGGATTAATTCTGTTCTCCCTTACCTGATTAGTACTGATCAAACTGGTTTCATGTCTGGCGGACACGCGGGTGATAATACAACACTGATAGATGATTTGAAGAACTGTGCAAAATCTAACAACATTCCTTTAATGTTGTTCTTTATAGTCTTCTAGAAGACTTTTGATTCCGTTGCGATTCCAACTTTTATTAGCAAAACTTTGACTTAGGCAAGGACACCGAAACTGGTTCAATATTCCATGCGATGGTGCCAATTCTCGTTTAGTTACCAACAGCACATTGTCTAATTGGTTTTCTGCTGAACGTTGCTGTAGTCAAGGTGATCCGCTATACCCTTACATCTTCATGAAACAATGTGAAAAATGTGAAGTTCAAGGAAGGTAACACAGTATGCAGATGAGAGAGGGATTATATTAGAGTGAGTGAGTGAGTTAAAATTTAAAGTCACATCGGCAATATTTCAGCCATATCGTGACTAAAGCAAATTCTATTTTCAAGATAAATACACATAAGTTATAAAACCCTGTCAACGAAGGACGGTAAAATGACAAGGATTATGTTAGACATTACCGGTGACACATTAAACACGTCTGCTGATATGTCAGGAGTAAAAATACATTTTGACAAATCTCAGGTAATATAGATACTTACCATGAATAATAGTCTGGCGAAGTATTTCCCCTGTCTAAATATTTAGGGGAATTCAGAATATTTTAAGCTACTAACAGATATCTTTCAACAGAATTAAGTCTCATGACTGACGAAAAATTGAAAATAGACTTCTTCTTTTTTTTAAATCAATTAATGATAAACAGACTGATGAAAAGATTCTGTAGTCATCTTGGTAGAATTGTTATTGTCAATGCTTTAGTCATTTCAAAAGTAAATTATCTATTTCTGACACTCCCTAACCCTATTAGCCATTTGGAACTAAAATGTTATTTTAATTTCTTTGGCGTGGGAAACCAGATCAGATTAAAAGAACTTTTATCTGTAATCACTGAAAGATGGCTGTTTTGGTATGGCTGAATTTCCTTTCCGCGTTTATTCATTAAAGCTACCTTGGATGAGAAAACTATTGGACATCATAAATGGAACACATTTCGTTTACAACAATGACATCACAAACGGTAAATAATTATCTTTTAATCTAAATGGTTTGGTAAAGGTGTCAGCCAACTACTGGACTTTATTAATCCCAAAGGGAACATAAGGACTTGAGCAATTCCAATACACTTTTGAACTCGATGTCAATATCTTCATTATCACAGACAGACAGACAGACAGACAGACGGTTTATTTGCGTAATATCGGCCTAGTGGCCTATAATACAGTTATACAGTTGTATAAATCGATGTACCGTGGTCAAATGGATCCAGCTCTTGTTTGGAATACATTATGCAGAAATAAAGCAGTGAAATATATTACCTGACAGTTTCTTGATTTGAAAATAGATTCTAAAGTTAGTGGACCTTTATACACTTTTCGAAGTTGTACCAAATATTTTTCTCGCCAACATTCGTAATATTTACAATAAAAAAAGACATGATTCTCGTCTTCAACTTCCAATGCATTACATACAGTGCACAAATATCCTGTTATATCTTCATTATCAATGGCTAATCAAGGCTATAAAGAAATACCTGAGTAAGTTGAAAATGGGTAAGCCCGCATCTTTTGCTGAAACTGATAATACTGTAGTAAGGGAAACTGCTGTCAGTAGTACATAAGAAAGGCAAAGAATGTTATTCTATTTTGAATGTGTGTGATCCTTAACTTAAACTGTAAGGGGCAGGGGGAATGTGTTCCTGCTGAATTACAGTGGGAAAATATTAATAAAACCACTTAAAACTACTTTAGATACCAAACTGAGATGGTTTCAAGCCAGAATTATTCACAGGATATTATCAACTAAACATTTTTATACAATCAACTTCACTGATTTTATTATCTGTTTTATCTATTATCTTTTCGAGTCCGCACCAGACAATCCAGTGATCAACAGCATGATCATCGTTCTACGCAATTGCGACATGATGACTTGTGTCAACCAAGTCAGCGAGCCTGACCACCCGATCCCGTTAGTCGCCTTTTACAAGATTGGGTTACTGAAGACCAATTCTACCCCGTATCCTCACGGGTATTGCCGTACCCTAAAATACACATGCAATAAACATTAAATCTGATACAAAGACAAGGTGTACTCACTTGCTTCCTTCTTCTGGTGAGATTGTGTGAAGTACCCGTGTTCTACTTATAAAGCCCGCACTAATGGCGCCATCTGGTCACAGTTGCGTGATCGTATATCAGGTCGATAGATCAAAATACAATATCAAACGGCATAGCATGTAGGTATATTTGTGCAAATGTCTCCCGTCGCATCTGCACGATATAGAATTAAGCTGGCGTCTGTTTTGCCACAAGTCGCAGATCAATATGTCTGGATGCCGTTGTACAAAGCGATCTTAGCGCTAAGGTGACCTTAACTCCCATACTTTAACACTGACTTAAGGCCGCCTTAGCGCTTAGGTTGTTTTGATCAACACCACCCTTGTCCACATTGGCAGACGTTTTTTGTTACGGAATATAAGAAACTAATACATAAGAAATTCAAATATTTCACGTATACAACAATAGTGATTTTGCACCGCTTTTAGCAATATTCCAGCAATATCACGGCGGGGGACACTAGAAATGGGCTTGGCTCATTGTACCAATGTGGGTAACCTGGATTTCGGTGGACGAGCAAACGCTTTAACCACTATGCTACCCCACCGCCCCTTGTACAGTATGACATTGGGAGGGATGACACACTGACATACCCCGAGATGTGTCGGGTTAGAACTGATCCCCAACTACCCATGCTTGTCGTAAGATGGTGGATCTTACTGATTGACGGGATCGAAGACAGTCTTGATGCAGGAAATCGTATTCCAATTACCCGTGGAGATCCGGGTTAGAATTTGTCTTCAGTAACCCATGCGTGTCGTAAGAGGCGACCTGGATCAGGAGGTCAGACTCGCTGACTTGGTTGAAACATGTCATCGTATCCCAATCACTGGATTGTCTGGTCCAGACTGGATTATCTACAGACCGCCGCCAATATAGCTGGAATATTGCTGAGTGCAGGGTAATACTAAACTCACTCACTCACGTATTCCAGTTGTATAGATCGATATTCATGATGTCAATATTTGGATTATTTACAGACCGTGGTCATTTTGTTCGAATACGTGGAATAAAAACCCAGTGATTGATCTGTCTGTTAATCATTTTATAATTATGTTTGATGCCGTTCACACGCACGTTATATGTCTATCGATGAGAGACGAGATGAGAAAACAGACATCAATATCTGAAAAATAATATTGCCGAACCAAGCTTGTTTAAACATATATTTAAATAAATAAATATTAGTACAAATGCGAAGAATTCATTAGGTCCATTTTGAAAAGGCAATGGTTAACTTTAAATCAGATCGTCGTTTTGAGTTCTTCGATAAGCTTCTAATAAGGCCATATATAAAAAATGTCCTGTTCTCGTTACCACCCGACCCAAAAATTCGACCCAACCCTAAGATTTTGTCTGACGTTTGAGAAATACTGATCCTTGTATTCGATAATCGTTGGGATAAAATACAACCCTTGTGATAAAATACTAAGATTTATGATATGACTTAATGGATCGGGTGTCCATGCTCGGTGTCTTGTTGTCAACGTGTCAACGTATCCGACACACAGCAAAAATAACTTAGTTTCCGTTCTTGCGGAAACCTAATTAATACTGGGTAATGTAGGTTTCCGCTAGGTTTCAGTATCCGGAAACAGACAATGCGAGTTTCCGCATAGTTTACAAAACTGAAACTAACAAATCTAGGTTTCCGTCAAGTTTCTACAACTGAAACTATCATTATGCGTTTCCATTTAGTTTCAGTTCGCTGAAACATTCATAGCAAAATGACTTAGTTTCCGCTATTGCGGAAACCTATTGAATACTGGGTAATGTAGGTTTCCGCTAGGTTTCTGTTGGTTTCAGCTTAGATGAAATGGCAAACTTAGCTTTGTGCTGTTACATTGGGGGACAATATTTACTTACTGTTACATTTGCAAGATAATTTCTATATACAGAATCCAGCTAGGGTCCGTGCAGGAAGCAAAAGTACTGTACGTTCCCGTAGTCCCTAGTATGTTGATCAACCTTCAGGTGTTGGCAATCTATAGCCCATTTTTATACTGTACCGTTAAAGTGTTTATGGTTACATGCCAGTTTTTAGTGTACATTTGTGATAGACTAGTTATTTTACTGTCCTTAGAAGACAGGTAGGTATATAAGTTTGTTTTATTTCATGTACACATTTACAAATTTAGATTTACGACTTTCACGATATGGCTGCCGATGTGACTTTGTAACTCACTACCATTCTGCATAACTTGTGAATGTACCATTTATTACATTGTACACGAAAAACAACAAACACAGTAACACAGTCACTGATATGATTCATCTGTTTCATTATTTTGAATAGCTCACATTTCAACAGAACCCAATAATGTATGTATGTATGTATGTATGTATGTATGTATGTATGTATGTATGTATGTATGTATGTATGTATGTATGTATGTATGTATGTATGTATGTATGTATGTATGTAATGTAATGTAATGTAATGTAATGTAATGTAATGTATGTATGAGAGAAGCCACATCAAGAGGGAATCTTCAGCATTGGAGAACACAACTTCTGTATGAATATGCAAATACAAATATGTCAAAACCCTACAACATTTTATGCATATGATGAAATGATGTCTACTAGTGCAGGCATAACATACTTGCTGTGGTATTTATTAAACAGATTTTAAATTCAAATTCAAATGTTTATTGTATGAAAGGTCATGGGCCCATATACATGAAGTGTACATTTGAAGCTGCCTCAATGTATCTTAACATATACACACTAACAATCTCACATAGTAAAGACTTGGCAACTTGCTGACAATCATGAAGCTTCTATTGCACTCATACTGAGCTGACAGCAATCCTCTGATCTGGTACATATGAAGCAGAGCCTGAGTTGAGACATTTGTTTTGCCACACAGAGAAAGGGGAAATATAACCAAGTTGATTACAACAAGGCTTGAACCAGTCCACAACCGCAAACAGATGGTGTATGCTCTACTTAAGATCTGTGGGTGAATATGAAGAGTCCTGGTTGATGTCTGGCACAACATCGTTGCCATGCTCATCGTCCCACACAGACTCTGCATCATCCTGCAAATACAATACATACAATGCTTAGTAAAACTACAAAACAGCCAAAGTAACACATGTATACATATTCAAAAACATGCACAGTGGTATATCTGATCACAATGAAATTATAAAATTAGAACGACTAATTTGTAGATGTACCCAAAAGATTTTTTCACAATCACAAAGGAAAGATCTGTAGTATACATGTATATTGTATCTTCCATTGGACATGTCACTTATTTGATTGATTGGTACCAGAAAATAGTAGCCAACCCAGTATTCTGAAGCAAATTGTGGTAATATTTATTACTGTTACTGTACTCATATTCAAGGTAACATCTACTACCAAATCGCCAATTGAAATCTAAGAATAGGTAAAACGGTACATACATATTTTAAATAGATACGAATCATGTTTAAACACTGAATGTAACACCTTATTATATATGTGATCTTATTCATTTCAAATTGAAATAACCAACTCAACTGAGAAAAGCATACAAAACCTAACATTTCCCATGAATGAAAAATCGTGGGTATTTCTTAGTTTTATCAACCCTCTAAAGAAACATTCACAGCAATATAATAACATAAAATATTATTTTTTAATGTGACCTTTACTTTAATTTAAAAACTGTAAAATGTGTAACACAACTTATTCACTTTCAGTTACAGTTACATATTTGATATACAATAATTAAATATATTCATTATTGATATATGATGGATAACAAAGGGACAGATCAAACTGAAGTCGTTAAGTGAAACCTATGAAGTGAAGTATCTTTGACGACTAACCTGATGAGAAACTGCCGTCCATTCCAGACGGATTCCTCGTTTCCTTGAAACAAGCGACTGGCAGTGCGGACAGAAAACTGGTCTTCTTCTTGGAACTGAAAAACATATCAACTTACAATTACACTGGAATCCACGCACTGTTACATTTTGAGTGATTATATTTTTCACAAAGATAAAGAAATTTATTCTATGTATCTATTTAGTGTTTACTTGTTTTTGACTAAATGCTGATGAATAAAAAATATTGTTTTAAGATTTCCTTTAATGAAATTAGGAGCATGGTAGGGTGTAACTATAAATGATTACCAAGCCAACCCTCTTGTCAATCTCCAACAAGTCCCTAGATCCACAAAACGTATCTGTAAATTGAAACAATGATTCTTTTAGAAATGTTATACGTGACTTGTGTCAATGCATTGTAAGGCTAAGAGGTTTAAAAATTGATTACACAAATTATTACACAAAGCTATGAGTGTAAAATATGTAATAATTGTTTTAATGGTTATAAAATGATAAAATAGATGAACTGGTATAATTGGATAAATACCGCCATATAGCTGGAATATTGCTGAGTGCGGCGTAATACTAAACTCACTCACTCGGATATATTGAGCTGACATTACATATAAGCTAGCAATATCGACTGCAAAATTAGATAATTTAACTTATAATACATGGGAATAGTATATCTAGGTGTAGAACTGAAAAGAATGAACATGATATAAGCATGTCTAATACACTTGCATGTTTGGAGCTCAATGGGTAAATTACTTACATGATGAAGTTTTACGTCCAGCAAAAATATTTTCGTATATTGCCTACTCCTGACAGGGTTTTGAAAAATCACCTATTTGTCACTAACACAAGTTCTCACGAGTAGGACTCATGAAGCTCGATCAGGGTGCCGTTCCACTAACCGATCTTAGCCCTACGCCAATCGTAAACCCCTAAAATCCCAATCTTAGCGTGACGTTACGATCGGCATACTGTTCCACTAACCAATCTTACTCAAGTCAATAGTAAAGTTAAGATTCAAAGTCTAAGTTGCTCATGACCAACTTAGGATAGCTAAAATCAATCGTAGAGAAACCAAAATGGTGGCTTTCCTATTCTATGTGAAAAATAAGAGCGAGCATTTCACCGTGAGCGTCCCCTAAAATCCCCCATGAAATGAATTTGTATATTTCTGTGATGTAAACAAACATCAAGGGCATCATTTCTAAACT